GTGGATATATGCTGTGTACAGTATGTGGCAGTGATACAGAGGGGCACTTAAAGGGGCAATCTGTGATTGGTACGTCAACTTTTGGAGCATTAAATTAACTTTATATACCCACTGATTCTCGAAGAATATAACTTATAAATGCCTCGTTAACTTTGTTCAACCGTCCCACCCTATCAGAAACCAAAATATATGCACGTTTCACTCCACTGTTTGTAAACGGACACTGTATAGCCTCAAAACATGGTTAAAACTATAATGTGGGTATCATGGATGGTCAGTCATTGCATCCATAGCTAGGTCTTTGAATTTGAGTGTGGTTCAATTTCTCCAGGCCCATCCCTCAGCTTTTTACCAAAACATTGGCGGGGTAAATGCAGATTGCCCCTTTAAACTACTGTTACAGATGTGTGTAAATGATTTACTTTCCAATGCCATTCTTTGTGGTTTGAGGACATTTATTAAATATGATTATAAGTTAGAACAGAACATTCACCACAGAAACAGTAACAGAAGTTTAGAAACAGCACCATCACCATTTTCACATTTCTATGCTAATAGAACAAATAGTTCATCATTATTAACAACTCATTCAAAACATCAGAATACAATATTTTCTGACTAAATTATTAATTGAACATAAGAAGATACCTACTTCAAACCAGTATGCAAATGCACCATAACCAACCTGGATTCTACTGCTCTCAGCACCATATGTGTGACCTCAACTGTTGTTTCCTCTCCTTCCTCCATTCCATACTCCTCCTCGTCTCTCCTACTCCTCTCCTACTCCTCTCCTCCTCCTCTCTCCCTCTCCATACTCCTACTCCTCATCCTCTATCCTCTCCTCTCTCTCCTCTCCTCTCTCTCCTCTCCTCATACCTCCGTCCTACCTCCTCTCCTCAGTCCTCCTCCTCTCCTCTCCTCTCCTCTCCTGACTCTCTACTCCCCGGCCTCTAACAGAGTCAGTGGATGTAGTTTCAGACTCAGCGGCTCCACAGTGCCTCCCTGTGGCCGTTTGTATCTGTAGGTGTGGTGTAGAGGTCCACTCTCTAGCCCCCCCACCTTCTACTCCAGAGTAGCAGAGGAAGTTGATGCGTTCGTGGCAGGACCAAATTCAGTGAACTTAAAATGATTTGTTTTCAACAGTGCCCCCATATGGTGCTGAGAGAAGTAGCATCCAGGTTGGTTAATGACGCATACTGGTTTCAATAGTTATCTTCTTATGTTCAAGTACTAATTTTGTCTGAGAAAATGTACATTTGATAAGAAAGTTACTAATTAATGATGAATAACTATTTGTTCAGTAGTCATATACATCAACTTAAAACAAAATGGTGATGGGACTCATTCCAAACTTCTATCGTTTTTCTGAGGAATGTTCTGTTGTATGTTATTGACAAAATAAATCATTAATTCTGACATCTAGTAGACCGCTCCCACCCTTGAATGATCACCTTTAATAAATGTACTCAAATTTCCACAATGGTTGACAACGAGCAGAACATAATTTCAGACATAAGCTGTACTGTAACGCGGTTAAGTGTTGCCACGTCGTTACACTAACCGGTTATATAATGACCATGCAAACCCATCAGCAGCACTAGATATCTAAGCAGACCAAATACATAGTGACATACACAATCCATCATGGACATTTAGTCAAACTAAAATTAAAAGTCCTGTCTTGAAAACCATTTTGAGCATGGATTATGTCCCTCTCTGCAGTGCACAAATCCAGGTATACTGTTCTGTGTTTACATGTGTTTACATGTCAAAGAGATTTCATCATTATAATATTCGGTTGGATGTAGTTTCATGTTAAGACAGGCGGAAACTGCTAAAATATTTGGTAACACTTTTACCGTAACCGTAGAAAGCAGTTGCTTGTCAATATATAGTTTGTTAATAGTATGAGTGTAGAGCATATTCACATGGGAAAATCTGGACTATCCAAATAAAGTGTGACCAAATATTTATGTATCTCTGGTGGAACTAAATAGTCTGCTGGTGTGGTGCATTGTGCTTCATGAATCCCTGGTTACAAATGCTAAAGTACATACTGTGTATTTCTCCTTTCAAGCTACAAATACTAAATTAAATATATTTCCCCCTTCTAGCTACATCTGACTGTTTTGTCTTTTCAATACATCTCTACAGACCATAGAGCAAAAACATAATCTATGCATTCAAATGAATGATGGCAGAGATCTTTAATTTGCATCTATTCAATTCGTCATTCAACACAAATTAATTCCCAAAGTATTATCTAATAACGTTGCTGGTGTTTCAATGTATGACTGAATTGACAATGTAGACTGTGGTATCAGGAAGGTACCGGAAGTCTTAAGATGCATCAATAAAGCAACGTGGAGAATGCCTACAAAGAATCTGCCAAGTTCTTTAACGTCAGTGATGATGGAGGGAAACAACGGGAGGAAGCCATTTTAGACTACTGTTACATACTTACGTACCCTGTCCCCCTATATAGTGCACTACTTCTCAACAAGACCCATAGGGCTCTGGTCAAAAGTAGTGCACTATATAGGGAATAGGGTGCCATTTGGGATGCACACAGGCACTTCCTTAGCACTTCCTCCTTAGTTATGTCATGCAGTTGGATTCGTAAAAACTTTATTGATCATCTGGTGTTTCCTCAGAACATACACATAAATACACCTACTGCTTTAGTACATTTATTAGAACTAAGGCACCAATGGAAACTCAGAGACTGAAAAACATTACGCTTGGTATTAATGGCTTTGTTACATGAATGGGCTATGGAGAAGACTTTGTGAGATAATACTATTGTTATTTGCTATCTTCAGAGATAACTAGCATGCATGTGACCTATTCAATCAAAGTGTTTCACGTTCTTGAAGAAGTTTCTTTTTTTCACAACGAGACAATTCCACGCAAAGAAATAGTCTATTGCTACATTACATCACGTAAATTGTCCATGTGTGCTAAATAGGATAATTGTATGTCTGTCGTGCAACTGTCAAATATAGTTATTTCACCGCATTCTCTGTGTTTTTGGATCATGGCTTGTACTTTATGCACTCGATTTTGATGATGTAAAGAATAGAATCCATCCCAATTTCTGACACTTTTTGGTTGTTGCCACGTTTCACTGTCAGTCGTCAGTCTTATCCATATGTTTTGAATCACAGCCAGTGTCCTTGGGGCAGTCCAGTTGCCATTCTAAAGCCAGTGTCCTTGGGGCAGTCCAGTTGCCATTCTAAAGCCAGTGTCCTTGGGGCAGTCCAGTTGCCATTCTAAAGCCAGTGTCCATGGGGCAGTCCAGTTGCCATTCTAAAGCCAGTGTCCTTGGGGCAGTCCAGTTGCCATTCTAAAGCCAGTGTCCTTGGGGCAGTCCAGTTGCCATTCTAAAGCCAGTGTCCTTGGGGCAGTCCAGTTGCCATTCTAAAGCCAGTGTCCTTGGGGCAGTCCAGTTGCCATTCTAAAGCCAGTGTCCTTGGGGCAGTCCAGTTGGCATTCTAAAGCCAGTGTCCTTGGGGCAGTCCAGTTGCCATTCTAAAGCCAGTGTCCTTGGGGCAGTCCAGTTGCCATTCTAAAGCCAGTGTCCTTGGGGCAGTCCAGTTGCCATTCTAAAGCCAGTGTCCCTGGGGGCAGTCCAGTTGGCCTTCGTCATCTTGTAAAATACCATCCAGGTGACTATCAAGCGTTTACTTCTTAGGACGGATTGTGGAGAGTTGTCGAGCTACTGTCTATTCCCTTTGCTACGACCACAGCCATGGGATCTGCCATTAAAAATAACACAGGATGCATCCCACACATGTTGAAGGAAAATAAAACAAGTTCAGTTCAAATGAAGGCATTTGCTCAAGTCATATGGGAAAGTAAAGCTCATTGTTGACAGGATATCTCAGGTATGTAAATAAATCCTCTGTTCCTATATCAGGTATGTAAATAAATCCTCTGTTCCTATATCAGGTATGTAGAACTCTCCTCTGTTCCTATATCAGGTATGTAAATAAATCCTCTGTTCCTATATCAGGTATGTAGAACTCTCCTCTGTTCCTATCTCAGTTATGTAAATAAATCCTCTGTTCCTATATCAGGTATGTAGAACTCTCCTCTGTTCCTATCTCAGTTATGTAAATAAATCCTCTGTTCCTATATCAGGTATGTAGAACTCTCCTCTGTTCCTATCTCAGGTATGTAGAACTCTCCTCTGTTCCTATATCAGGTATATAAATAAATCCTCTGTTCCTATATCAGGTATGTAGAACTCTCCTCTGTTCCTATCTCAGGTATGTAGAACTCTCCTCTGTTCCTATCTCAGGTATGTAGAACTCTCCTTTGTTCCTATCTCAGTTATGTAAATAAATCCTCTGTTCCTATATCAGGTATGTAGAACTCTCCTCTGTTCCTATCTCAGGTATGTAGAACTCTCCTCTGTTCCTATATCAGGTATATAAATAAATCCTCTGTTCCTATATCAGGTATATAAATAAATCCTCTGTTCCTATATCAGGTATGTAGAACTCTCCTCTGTTCCTATCTCAGGTATGTAGAACTCTCCTCTGTTCCTATCTCAGGTATGTAGATACATCCTCTGTTCCTATCTCAGGTATGTAGATATCTCCTCTGTCCAACCAAAGTGCTTATGATAACCCACTCCTAAGGATGCTAATAAAGGCTGCTACACATAGGATGCTGAGGAGATGAAACAACCCCATGTATGTACAATACAAACACTTCTGAAATCTGGTGAAAAGCACATACTGTAATCAACACAATTCAGTAATTGTCCATTAGGAGTATTTCATTCCAATAATTTACAGACTTTCTTCCTTGTCTTCATTGTTCAGTCCCACACTGACTGAGAATAACATCCCTTTCTTGTTTGTGACAACGACCCTGGGAAGATCAGATGTTCCATATGACTCTAGATCTCCCTCTCTGAAAGTTTTTCATCTCAAGTCTCTCCTTCTCTTAGTTTCTTCCATCTTTCTCTTGTTCTCTCCCTCCACTATCTACTTCCCAGTGTTCAGGCTCTTCTTATGTGGGTGCTTCTGAGCGATCCCGTAGGGTACGTGAGCCGCGACCGTGCCCATCTCCGCCGCCCCTTCCACGTGGAACATCTGGTCATCAAAGTAGATGTGGGGCCTAATCTTCTCCAGCATCGGGCCCTTTGGGGCCCCGGCCAGGAAGAGAGCCTCATCCGTCTCCAGGCCCCAGGCTCTCAGGGTCTTCAAGGCACGGATCCCTGAGCTGGCTGCGCTGCGGGCCGTTACCAGGTAGGTACGGATGGGACAGTCCAGACGGTGGCCCTTAGCATAGAACTTCTTCTGGAGTTTGCCAAGGGACGCTAGGAAGTCCTTAAGAGGGCCCTGAGAAGAGAAGAGGAGAGGAAGAGGAGAGGAGAGGAGAGGAGAAGAGAAATAACGTTTTTTTTTGCGGGGTGGGGGGGCTGGGGGGGGGGCTATAATGTGCAGGGAGTTACAGGAATCTGCTGATCTGATTGATAACAATCCAATATTATTTTTTCTGACGCATGTCTACTTACACGGTCCAGTAGAATGTCCTCATTGTCTCTCTCGTGCTGGAAGAACCCGTCGAGGCCCTGGGCCTTGAAGATGCGTTCTGATTCGTCAGAGAAGAGGACAGCGTCACCATCGAAGGCCACTCTCAGCTGCGTCTCTGATACCTCCGTCAGATTATCGGACATGAACATGGTGGCCGCTGCAATGCCTGAGAGAAAACATTGAGACAGATTAATATTAACATGGTGGCCGCTGCAATGCCTGAGAGAAAACATTGAGACAGATTAATATTAACATGGTGGCCGCTGCAATGCCTGAGAGAAAACATTGAGACAGATTAATATTAACATGGTGGCCGCTGCAATGCCTGAGAGAAAACATTGAGACAGATTAATATTAACATGGTGGCCGCTGCAATGCCTGAGAGAAAACATTGAGACAGATTAATATTAACATGGTGGCCGCTGCAATGCCTGAGAGAAAACATTGAGACAGATTAATATTAACATGGTGGCCGCTGCAATGCCTGAGAGAAAACATTGAGACAGATTAATATTAACATGGTGGCCGCTGCAATGCCTGAGAGAAAACATTGAGACAGATTAATATTAACATGGTGGGCCTCTGCAATGCCTGAGAGAAAACATTGAGACAGATTAATATTAACATGGTGGCCGCTGCAATGCCTGAGAGAAAACATTGAGACAGATTAATATTAACATGGTGGCCGCTGCAATGCCTGATTGCCATTTAGTCCTCAAAGGGCTGAGGCGAAAGGATAGTCTAAGGGCTCTATTCAGTCTATCGCTGAAGCGTTACAGATTGCGCGATAGAAATGCAGAAGGTAATTTCCGATTGGTCCGACGTATGCAGCGTTTACCGTGAAATGCAGTCTCCGCTAAAGCAGGAACATTGCCTTTAAATTTAAATCGCTCTGTAAAGATGAACTTCCGCGATGTGGATTGAATAGAGCCCCTAGAAAGGGGAAGGTTCAGTCCCAAATGGCACCCTATTCCCTCTATAGTGCACTACTTTTGACCAGAGCCCTATAGGCCCTGTTTAAAAGTAGTGCACTATACTGAGAATAGGGTGCCATTTGGGAACTGAACCTTCCCCTTTCTAGGATTGTTTCTTAACCAGAACCCTCTGGCAGTAGTTTGAATGTTGAATCGCTCCCTAGTGTCATATAACACATGGAAATGGAGTTGTAGAAATTAACATAAAATGTTTGAATATTCTAATGTTTGCTAATTTATTCACCACATTAGAGCAGGTACCAATCTTTCTTGGTATTTGCCTTCTAAATCAGGGGTCTTCAATATTTTCTTGCCCAGTAACCCCCACCCAGGCAAACCAGTGACCCAGTGCCCCCCATCATATGTAAAATAAATGTTTTTCACGTCTTTTCTTATCATTAAGTGAATGATAATGGCAAGGAGAAGTAATCAACATTTAAAATGAATACATTTGGTAGTTTGATTTTCATTATTTTGACCTCCTTACATTTTAATTGGAAGAGGAAGTGTAAACTCTAGCATAGCTAGAAAGTTAACTCCAAACACATTTTTGCTAATAGCAGCTGTTTAGCTGGTTAAACAAAAGTTAGCTCGCTTAACCCGCAAGCCAGATGCACCAATGTGCCGGAGGAAACACTGTACAACTGGCGACCGTGTCAGCGTGCACTGCGCCCGGCCCGCCACAGGAGTCGCTAGAGCGCGATGGGATAAGGGACATCCCGGCCAGCCAAACCCTCCCCTAACCCGGACGACACTGCGACTCAGCCCGGGTTCGAACCCGGGTCTGTAGTGACGCCTCAAGCACTGCGATGCAGTGCTTTAGACCGCAGAGCCACTCGGGAGGCCTGTAAATTACACTTTAAAAGTATGTGAGAGTTCTACATACCTGAGATAGCCCTGTGCAGTAATTTAAACTATTGAGACTGTGTGACTGTCCCATTCAGAAGGTTAGCGGTTCAACATCATCCCAGGACAGCTGACCCTTGAAGTTTGTCCACAATACATTTATTCTGTACTTGGGTTCCATGCTACAGTGGAGGGTAGTTCTGTACTATACAGGTGAGAACAGGACTCAGTCAGTCTGGTGTGACTCACCTTCAGACAGCGCCTCTCTGACCTTCTCAGCATCAGCAGACAGGTACAGGTTCGTCTGCCACGCATTCAGGTAGCCAATAGGTGAACTGCCTCCCGTCATACAGAACCTCTCAATGAATAGATCTGGGAGAGAGAGAGAGAGAAACACAATCACATCAAGGCTCATAAGAGCAGCCAGGTTCAGGTACTTCCTCCCCGTTTCAGCCCAGTTTCTTCCCCCAGAGATCAGATTGTATTCCTCCTAGTCCTAATTGTTAAGGTTAGAATTTGGGAAGAGTAAGCTGATCCTAGATCTGTGTCTTTTGTCATTTTCTCCCTTTAGGAAAAGTGTGAGCTTGTCCTGAAAGATAGCATAGCGACAAAGCCCTTTAACGCAACAATCAGCCAACCTTCCAGGCCAAAGGCTAAGGACATTTATAGAAGCTTGAAAGGGCGGCAGGTAGCCTAGCGGTTAGAGAGAGGGCCAGCAATCGGCGGGTTGCCAGTTCGAAATCGGGGGTCTGATGGGAAATATCTGTCAGGATGTGAGCTGGCGACTGGAGGGTTGCTGGTATCAACTCCTAGATGCCATGGCCTGCTGTTGTGCCCTTGAGCAAGGCACTTAACCCCCCACAACAACAGCACCCAGTGTGGCAGCCCACCGCACTTATCCAAACATGTATATGTGTCTTTCAGAGGGGTTGGGTTGAAAGTGGAAGTCCAAATTTCGGTTGGACTTTGTGTGTAATTGACCAATAAATTAATTTTAAGTGCCATCTCCGTAGGGAGGGAGTCTAATAACCTGCGTCCCAAATGGCACCCTATTCCCTTTCTAGCGCACTACTTTTAAAGTAGGGAATAGGTTTGCCATTTTGGGACGCAGGCAGAGTCTCAGTATGGGGCGAGACTGTATAGTTTGGCAATTAGGAATACACAGTGTCATCTGAGGTAAGGTGCAATAACTGTCGAGTCAGGAGGGAGAGGAGAGCAGGGGGAGAGGAGAGCAGGGGGAGAGGAGAGCAGGGGGGAGAGGAGAGCAGGGGGAGAGGAGAGGGCAGGGGGGAGAGCAGGAGAGGGGAGAGGAGAGCAGGAGAGGGAGCAGGGGAGAGGAGAGCAGGGGGAGAGGAGAGCAGGGGGAGAGGAGAGCAGGGGGAGAGGAGAGCAGGGGGAGAGGAGAGCAGTGAGAGGAGAGCAGGGGGAGAGGAGAGCGGGGGAGAGCGATCGGGGGAAGGAAGCAGGGGGAGAGGAGAGCACAGGGAGAGGAGAGCAGGATTGTAGAGGCATGGGCGAGTGAGAGCTGGGAAGGATGCAGGGGAGGGAGAGCAGGGGGATAGGAGAGCATGGGATAGGAGAGCAGGGGGAGAGAGAGTCAGGGGATAGGAGAGCAGGGAGAGGAGAGCAGGGGGAGAGGAGAGCAGGGGGAGAGTGATATAAAACATGGGATTTTGAACCAGACAATTGTGAATGTTAAAATTTGGCGAAAATAAAATTCTGACACGCCTAACAAGCATAGAAAAAATGGGTTATCAAGACTAGTCATCCGTAAATGGCTTTCTAGATATGAAAGGATGAGGTTTAGGATTAAACAGTCATGATATACTGGAGCTGTTTACTGTTGCTTTAAGAAGTCAGGTGCAGATTTTGGACTTTGGAGGGAGGGAGGGAGGGAGGGAGGGAGGGAGAGAAGGATGGAGAGAAGAGGGAGGACGGAGGTAGCTGCTAAATGTATTCTGATACAGGTTTACAGCAAGGTGCTGAATGAATCTTTAGTCCTGACTCCTGGGCCAAGATGTACTGAGAGAAAAGGAGGGTAAACATGGATTGAGAGAGAGAGACAGAGAGAGAGAGACAGAGAGACAGAGAGAGAGACAGAGAGATATAGATAGATAGAGAGTGAGAGAGTGAGAGAGAGAGGAGAGCGCAGAGAGATAAGAGGAGACAGAGAGAGAGAGACAGAGAGAGTGACAGAGAGATAGAAGATATAGAGAGGTGAGAGTGAGAGAGAGAGCGAGAGAGAGAAAGAGAGAGAGAGAGAAGAGAGAGAGAGTAAGAGAAGAGAGAGAGACAGAGAAAAGAGAGAGAGAGAGAGACAAGAGAGAAAGGTGGGAATATTGTGAGAAGAAAGGGAAGAAAGTGTTTGTTCAGGTAGGAAAAAGAACCATGGGATTCATTGGAGGGAAATGAAGGTTGATCATTGCAGGGAGAATGAAATGGATGGATGGATGGATGAATGGAATGGAGTTTCCTTTCCTTGAAAGATAGACAGACCGAGAGAAAGATGAGAGCGATTGAGCAAGAGACAGAGAGAGAGAAGAGAGAGAGATAGCTGGGAGAAGAGAGGGAGAGAGAGAGAGAGAAAAGGGAGCGAGCAGAGAGAGATAGAGCGGGAGAGAGAGAAGCGAGAGAGAGAGCGAGTAAGAGAGAAGAGAGCTGCGATAGATAGAGCGTGAGGGAGAAAGAGAGCGAGCGAGAGAGGAGAAGGAGAGAGAGAGAGAGAGAGAGAGAGAGAGAGAAGAGCGAGATAGAGAGATGAGAGAGGGGGGTGGGGAAGAGAGACGATAGAGCGAGAGAGAGAGAGCGAGAGAGAGGAGAGGATAGATATAGAGAGATAGAGAGGAGAGGAGAGAGAGAGGAGAGAGTGAAGAGAAGAGAGATAGAGAGAAAGAGTGACAGTCTGGTGTCTGGGACCTTTATATTTTGTGAGAGAGGGGTATGAATCTACCACATCTCACTCAAGCGCTCCCCTGTCCCCTTCAGAAAAAAAATAAACAAATATTTTTGAAGATCAACAAAATCACAACAATGTGTTCTGCCAGAGCCTAATCATACAGCCCCAACCCAAGATAAATGGGTCCCTCCTGACCCAATATTGGGGACATGCTGCATACACAAGTACTGAAGCATGGGAGATATCGTACTCTGGGGATGGCCCAGTCATTGATGTTATTCTTAACCCATGAATTCCTTCATATTTTACATTAATGGATGTCTTTATGTCATGTGTTCATAGATGTCCTCATTGTTGTCTTTCTATTATGTGTCCATTGATCTGATCTGGGCAGAGGATGATGCCTGATTATACAGTACATTAACACAGGATGAGGCCTGATGATACAGTGCATTAACACAGGATGAGGCCTGATGATACAGTACATTAACAGGATGAGGCCTGATGATACAGTACAGTAACAGGATGAGGCCTGATGATACAGTACATTAACATGATGAGGCCTGATGATACAGTACATTAACAGGATGAGGCCTGATGATACAGTACATTAACAGAGGATGGTGCCTGATGATACAGTACAGTAACAGAGGATGAGGCCTGATGATACAGTACATTAACATGATGAGGCCTGATGATACAGTACATTAACAGGATGAGGCCTGATGATACAGTACATTAACAAGGATGATGCCTGAATGATACAGTACAGAAACAAGGATGAGGCCTGATGATACGTACATTAACAGGTGAGGGCCCGATGATACATTTCATTAACAGGATAAAGGCCCCGATGATACAGTACATTAAAATGACGGGGCCTGATGATACAGTACATTAACATGATGAGGCCTGATGATACAGTACATTAACAGGATGAGGCCTGATGATACAGTACATTAACATGATGACGCCGGATGATACAGTACATTAACAAGGATGAGGCCTGATGATACAGTACATTAACAGGATGAGGCCTGATGATACAGTACATTAACAGGATGAGGCCTGATGATACAGTACATTAACAGAGGATGGCCTGATGATACAGTACATTAACAGAGGATGAGGCCTGATGATACAGTACAGTAACAGAGGATGAGGCCTGATGATACAGTACATTAACAGGATGACGCCTGATGATACAGTACATTAACAGGATGAGGCCTGATGATACAGTACAGTAACAGAGGATGAGGCCTGATGATACAGTACATTAACAGGATGACACCTGATGATACAGTACATTAACAGGATGAGGCCTGATGATACAGTACATTAACAGAGGATGAGGCCTGATGATACAGTACATTAACAGGATGACACCTGATGATACAGTACATTAACAGGATGAGGCCTGATGATACAGTACATTAACAGAGGATGAGGCCTGATGATACAGTACATTAACAGCACAGTAGTACCAGACTGCTTCCATAATATACTGTACACTACTAGTTAAATGATTGCTTATACTGGAACAACTTCACTGACATCCAGACATCAAAGTCGTTTTTATGTTTATATTTCAGTCTTCTCACAGCTGTATATTTTAGGGAAAGATTAATAAACATTATTTTAGAAGGAGTGTGTGCATCCTGAGAAGAGCTTCATGAAACTGCAAACTAATTCCCTTGAAACTGTATGGCTCTCTAAGACGAGACTCTTCTATACTGATTCTAATGGGGTTTTCAAATCAGATCTCTCTCTCTACTGCAAACAGGTGCACTTATATTTAATTGTATGCTAAATAAACTATTATCCACATGACAGAACATGGCAATCATTCCATGTATTTATGTAAAGTAGATGCATGGAGTCTCTCGCAGCGATGAAGTTGTCATACACCCCAAAGAGCCAATCCCATGTCTACATTATGTTGTCATACACCCCAAAGAGCCAATCCCATGTCTACATTATGTTGTCATACACCCCAAAGAGCCAATCCCATGTCTACATCATTATCCAAGATGGCATAGCAGTGCGGTCATGTTTTTTAATTTTAATATTAATATGCCATTTAGCAGACGCTTTTATCCAAAGCGACTTACAGTCATGTGTGCATACATTTTATCAATTGAGCTACAGAGGACCTTATGTAAATAGCCTGTTTTTGTTGTTGTATTTTTCGTATATATTTCTCAATCTCACTTTCCATCCTTTAACTAATAGCATCTTTCCTGCAATCGTCCTACACCCAAATGAGAACGATCATATTTCTCATACTATTTGCGTATACCAAAGCAACCCTGGCTGAAACTACCAGCTAGCCACTACATCGTCTACTTGCTATTAGCCACCGTTTAGCGCGTCTTTACCAATGCGTAGGCGTGTGCTGCATTACCTGAACTACAGCCAGCCATCTAAGCCTGGACTATTATTTCGCATCTGCACTTCTCCACAAACGCTTATCACCCATGAACATATCGTTGTTTCTTCATCATTTTTATCCCGAACCTCTGGCTGAAACTAGCACATAGCCACGCTAACTAGCTACTTGCATTAGCCACCGTTAGCGGTTTCACCATTGTCGTGCGTGGCTGCACTACCTACCACCAGCTCTAGCCTGACAATTGTCGGCCAGTCTGCACATCGCACTATCGAGCCAGAGCATATCGGATTTTCTGCCGGAACCACTGAATCACTGGACCTTAACACCGGATCATCGCTAGCCAGCTAACTTGCTACTTGCTATTAGCCACCGTTAGCGGTCTTTACCATTGTCCGTGGCCGTGGCCTGCACTACCTACCAGCCAGCCAGCTCTAGCCTGGACTATTATTCGGCCAGTCTGCACTGTCTGCACAGCGCGTTATCGACCCTGAACATATCGTTTTTTCTGCCGGAATCACTGAACCTTTAACACCGGATTCATCGCTACTAGCTAGCTGCAACCAAATGGACATTTGTGGTTGGCTAATCAGCCCTGAGTTAGCCTTGAGCCAGGCCCATCTCGCGGCTATCTACCTCTCTGTCAACCGGACGGGACCTCCTAGTGTTGACACGGAGCCCCGCCGATCCAACACGACTGGTCTGCCGATGAAATCGTCTGATGTGGTTACAACAGGCTTCCCGTTACGACGTCGACCACGAAGATCCATCTGCTAGCCCCGGCCCGCTAGCACACGCTAAACCTGCCTTAGATAGCTCCTTTGTCCCACCCCCCATACACGCGGAGACCGACTCAATCGGTGCCTCCAGTGATTTTATCTCTTTCATCGTTACCCAACGCTTAGGTTTACCTCCACTGTACTCATATCCTTACATATCCTTTTCTGTACATAATGCCCTGAATCTATTCTACAATGCCCGGAAACCTGCCCCTTTTTTTTTCTCTGTACCCAACGCACTAGAAGACCAGTACTTAAAGCCTTTAGCCATATCCTTATTCTACTCCTCCTCTGTTCCTCTGGTGATGTAGAGGTTGACCCAGTGCCTGTAGCCCCCAGTATCACTCCTACCCCCCAGGCGTTATCATTTGTTGACTTCTGTAATCGTAAAAGCCTTGGTTTCTTGCACGTTAACATCTGAAGCCTCCTCCCTAAGTTTGAGTTATTCACTGCGTTAGCACACTCCGCCAACCCTGATGTTCTAGCAGTGTCTGAATCCTGGCTTACGAAGGCCACCAAAAATTCAGAAATGTCCATCCCCAACTACAACATTTTCCATCTCGATAGAACTGCCAAAGGGGGTGGGGTTGCAATCTACTGTAGAGATAGCCTGCAGAGCTCTATCGTACTATCCAGGTCTGTGCCCAAACAGTTTGAGCTTCTACTTCTAAAAATCCACCTTTCCAGAAATAAGTCTCTCACTGTTGTCGCTTGCTACAGACCCTCCTCAGCCCTGAGCTGTGCCCTGGACACCATATGTGAACTGATTGCCCCCCATCTATCCTCAGAGTTCGTACTGCTTTGTGACCTAAACTGGGATATGCTTAACACCCCGGCCAACCTACAATCTAAACAAAATGCCCTCAATTTCACACAAATGATCAACGAACCTACCAGGTACAACCCTAAATCTGTAAACATGGGCACCCTCATGGATATCATCCTGACAAATTTACCCTCTAAATACACCTCCGCTGTCTTCAACCAGGATCTCAGCGATCACTGCCTTATTGCCTGCGTCTGTAATGGGTCCGCGATCAAACGACCACCCCTCATCACTGTCAAACGCTCCCTAAAACACTTTAGCGAGCAGGCCTTCCTAATTGACCTGGCCCAGGTATCCTGGATGGATATTGACCTCATTCCGTCAGTAGAGGATGCCTGGTTGTTCTTTAAAAGTGCTTTCCTCTCAATCTTAAATAAGCATGCCCCATTCAAAAAATTCAGAACTAAGAACATATATAGCCCCTGGTTCTCCTCAGACTTGACTGCCCTTGACCAGCACAAAAACATCCTGTGGCGTACTGCATTAGTATCGAACAGCCCCTGCGATATGCAACGTTTTAGGGAAGTCAGGAACCAATATACACAATTAGTTAGGAAAGCAAAGGCTAGCTTTTTCAAACAGAAATTTGCATCCTGTAGCACTAACTCCAAAACGTTTTGGGACACTGTAAAGTCAATGGAAAATAAGAGCACCTCCTCCCAACTGCCCACTGCACTGAGGCTAGGAAACACTGTCACCACCGATAAATCTACAATAATCTAGAATTTCAACAAGCATTTTGCTACGGCTGGACATGCTTTCCACCTGGCTACCACTACCCCGGCCACCAGCTCTGCACCCTCCACTGCAACTTGCCCATGCTCCCCCCGCTTCTCCTTCACACAAATTCAGACAGCTGATGTTCTGAAAGAGCTGAAAAATCTGGACCCCTACAAATCAGCTGGGCTAGACAATCTGGACCCTTTCTTTCTAAAATTAGCCGCCGAAATTGTCGCAACCCCTATTACTAGCCTGTTCAACCTCTCTTTCGTAACGTCTGAGATCCCAGAGATTGGAAAGCTGCCGCGGTCATCCCCCTCTTCAAAGGGGGTGACACTCTAGATCCATATTGTTATAGACCTATGTCATTCCTGCCCTGCCTTTCGAAAGTATTTGAAAGCCAAGTTAACCAACAGACCACCGACCATTTCGAATCCCACCGTACCTTCTCCGCTATGCAATCCGGTTTCCGAGCTGGTCATGGGTGCACCTCAACCACGCTCAAGGTCCTAAACGATATTATAAACACGATCGATAAAAGACAGTACTGCGCAGCTGTCTTCATCGACCTGGCCAAGGCTTTGACCCTGTCAACCAGCACATTCTTATTGGCAGACTAAATAGCCTTGGTTTCTCAAATGACTGCCTCGCCTGGTTCACCAACTACTTGTCAGATAGAGTTCAATGTGTCAAATCGGAGGGCCTGTTGTCTGGACCTCTGGCCGTTTCTATGGGGGTGCCACAGGGTTCAATTCTCGGCCCGACTCTATTCTCTGTGTGTATCAACGATGTCGCTCTTGCTGCTGGTGATGCTCGGATCCACCTCTATGCGGATGACACCATTTTGTATACATCTGGCCCTTCATTGGACACTGTGTTAACAAACCTCCAAACGAGCTTCAACGCCATACAACACTCCTTCCGTAGCCTCCAACTGCTCTTAAACACTAGTAAAACTAAATGCATGCTCTTCAACCGAACGCTGCTTGCACCCGCCCACCCGACTAGAATCACTACTCTTGGCGGGTCTGACCTAGAGTATGTGGACAACTACAAATACCTAGTTGTCTGGTTAGACTGTAAACTCTCCTTCCAGACTCACATTAAGAATCTCCAATCCAAAGTTAAATCTAGAATCAGGCTTCCTATTTCGCAACAAAGCCTCCTTCACTCATGCTGCCAAACATGCCCTCGTAAAACTGACTATCCTACCGATCCTTGACTTCGGCGATGTCATTTACAAAATAGCCTCTAGCACTCTACTCAGCAAATTGGATGTAGTCTATCACAGTGCCATCCGTTTTGTCACCAAAGCCCCATACACTACCCACCACTGTGACCTGTACGCTCTCGTTGGCTGGTCCCTCACTACATATTCGTCGCCAAACCCACTGGCTCCAGGTCATCTATAAATCACTGCTAGGCAAATCCCCGTCTTATCTTAGCTCACTGGTCACCATAGCAACACCCACCCGTAGTCTGCGCTCCAGCAGGTATATCTCACTGGTCATCCCCAAAGCCAACACCTCCTTTGGCCGCCATTCCTTCCAGTTCTCTGCTGCAAATGACTGGAACTAACTGCAAAAATCTCTGAAGCTGGAGACTCTTATCTCCCTCACTAACTTTAAGCGTCAGTTGTCAGAGCAGTTTACCGTTCACTGCACCTGTACACAGCCTTTCTGAAATTAGGCGACCCAACTACCTCATCCCCATATTGTTATTTACATTGTTATTTATTTTGCTAATTTGCACCCCAGTATCTCTACTTGCACATCATCTTCTGCACATCTATCATTCCAGTGTTAATACGAAATTGTAACTATTTTGCACTACGGCCTATTTATTGCCTTACCTCCACAAACTGTATATATATTGTCTGTTGTATTTTTAACTTTATGTTTTGTTTTACCCCATATGTAACTATGTGTTGTTGTTTTTATCGCATTGCTTTGCTTTATCTTGGCCAGGTCGCAGTTGTAAATGAGAACTTGTTCTCAACTGGCTTACCTGGTTAAATAAAGGTGAAATAAAATACAAGTAAATAAAATACATTATGTTTTTAAAGAGCCAATCCCATGTCTACATTTACATTTTAGTCATTTAGCAGACGCTCTTATCCAGAGCGACTTACAGTTAGTGAGTGCATACATTATTTTATTTTTCATACTGGCCCCCCGTGGGAATCGAACCCACAACCCTGGCGTTGCAAACGCCATGCTCTACCAACTGAGATACATCCCTGCCGGCCATTCCCTCCCCTACCCTGGACGACGCTGGGCTAATTGTGCGCCGCCACATGGGTCTCCCGGTCGCGGCCAGCTACGACAGAGCCTGGATACAAACCAGGATCTCTAGTGGCACAGCTAGCGCTGCGATGCAGTGCCTTAGACCACTGCGCCACTCGGGAGTATGTTGTCATACACCCCAAAGAGCCAATCCCATGTCTACATTATGTTTTTAAAGAGCCAATCTCATGTCTACATTATGTTGTCACACCCCAAACAGCCAATCCCATGTCTACATTATGTTTTTAAAGAGCCAATCCAATGTCTACATTATGTTTTAAAAGAGCCAATCCAATGTCTACACAAGGATGTCGATTTTCACTCATACACAACCTGTATCCCAAATAGCACCCTATTCCCTTCATAGTGCACCACATTTGACCAGTGTGCTATGTAGGGAATAGGGTGTCATTTGGGAAGCAAGATTAGAGTGTATATATACTGTACGAGTGTCTAAAAACCTATCTTGTATACGGCGACTACGCCACAAGTTGCATCCAACACTACTTATCACTTCTGCCTTTGTTTAAACCTACGCACTTGTGGCGTAAACGTCTCCTAATTCACTTCCACAATAGGTCAGGTCTGCATCACAAATGGCACCATATTCCCTATATAACGCACTACTTTTGGTTCTGAGAGGTAGGTAGCTTAGCGGTTAGGAGCGTTGGGCCAGTAACCGAAAAGTCTCTGGTTCGAATCCCCGAGCTGACTAGGTGAAAAAATCTTAACCCTAATTGCTCCTGTAAGTCTCTCCAGATAAGAGCGTCTGCTAAATTACTAACCTGTAAGTCTCTCTGGATAAGAGAGTCTGCTAAATTACTAACCTCTAAGTCTCTCTAGATAAGAGAGTCTGGTAAATGATTCACATGTAACCGACATAGTTAATACGGTCACGGGCTCTGGTCAAAAGTAGTCCATCATAAAGAGACTTGGGTTTCATTTGGGATGGACCCTAAAGAGCAGTTTGTATTACAGAATCAAGTCTCCTTGACGTCTGGGCGGTCATCTTTGTCCGTGTTTGTTTTTTGTGTTCTCTAGAGAAAGTGTCAGAGGTCAAGGAGTGTGGTTTGTGTTGTGTGTTCGAACAGAGAACCTACCGGAGAGATCTAACGTCAGATGAGAAGACGTGGAGGCATCTGGGAGCTCTGAAGGAAGCCAGTTCCCTAACTTGTTTTCCTTGTTGTGACTCACACAAAAGTCTTTTGAATATGTTGGTGACCCCCATCAACAAAATAAATATACAAATACATTTGTCAAGCCACAACCAAGGCTTTGCTTTAGCCGCGACCCAAGAGGGACTGGTCGGTTCCCTTGGGACCAGACCCATTATTTGGGAACAGCTTTGGTTTCTGTTTTGCATTCACACACAGAGATCCATTAGAGATATGGTTCATGGCATCTGGAAAAGCTTTACCTGAAATTGATATGAAGTCCCTCCCAGATAGTGATCTTAGGTCTAATGGTGAATAGTCAGACTTGCTAAGGGTAAATTGATCCCAGGTCTGTGCCTACAAAAGGTGCCAACTAGAATCTAAAAGGGTTCATCGGCTGACCACATAGGAGAACCCTTTGAAGAACCATTTTTGGTTCCAGGTAGAACCCTTTGGAACACTTTTTTTGTAAGACAACTTCTATTCTAGGCTTCCAGATGAAGTATATAGCAGTATGCAGTATTCGTAGCACGCAAAGAAAGCTACAGGTGTAGGGTATTCATTTGACCAGTTTCTCACAGCAGGAAAATAATCCTGCAAAAACAGGAAATGTGAATGATTGTGTGGATTATCATTAATGGAAATGTTTGTAGGGGTTGATAAATGTTTGTTTTTTTCAGGGCACATCAAGTCTTACATTTTAAAGTTACAAATTACAAACTTTAGAAGCCTTTTTTTTTTAAATCCTGCAACAACTGGGTGGTCAAATCAAGATCCTACATCTGCTGACGCTGGTACCTGTGATATTGACTGAGTACGCATACGTGCGTACATATGTGTATTCTGGAGTCTACGCTAGTTTCACTATGAACTGTTGGATAGTGCGTGCAGGTGCATGTTTCGTGCGTGCACGTGCCTCCGTGTGAGTGTGCTAAGTGTGTGTGTGTGTGTGTGTGCTAAGTGTGTGAGCGCATGTGTGTGTTACAGTGCCTTGCAAAAGTATTCATCCCCCTTTCGCGTTTTTCCTATTTTGTTGCATTACAACCTGTAATTTAAATGGATTTTTATTCGGATTTCATGTAATGGACATACACAAAATAGTCCAAATTGGTGAAGTGAAATGAAAAAAAATTAACTTGTTTTCAAAAAATTCAAAAAAATTAATAACGGAAAAGTGGTGCGTGCATATGTATTCACCCCCTTTGCTATGAAGCCCCTAAATAAGATCTGGTGCAACCAATTACCTTCAGAAGTCACATAATTAGTTAAATAAAGTCCACCTGTGTGCAATCTAAGTGTCACATTATCTGTCACATGATCTCAGTATATGTACACCTGTTCTGAAATGCCCCAGAGTCTGCAACACCACTAAGCAAGGGACACCACCAAGCAAGCGGCACCATGAGGACCAAGGAGCTCTCCAAACAGGTCAGGGACAAAGTTGTGGAGAAGTACAGATCAGGGTTGGGTTATAAAACAATATCCGAAACTTTGAACATCCCACAGAGCACCATTAAATCCATTATTAAAACATTGAAAGAATATGGCACCTTAACAAACCTGCCAAGAGAGGGCCGCCCACCAAAACCCACAGACCAGGCAAGGAGGGCATTAATCAGAGAGGCAACAAAGAGACCAAAGATAACCCTGAAGGAGCTGCAGAGCTCCACAGCAGAGATTAGAGTATCTGTCCATAGGACCACTTTAAGCCGTACACTCCACAGAGCTGGGCTTTACGGAAGAGTGGCCAGAAAAAAGCCATTGCTTAAAGAATAAAATAAGCAAACATGTTCACCAAAAGGCATGTGGGAGACTCCCCAAAGATATGGAACAAGGTACTCTGGTCAGATGAGACTAGAATTGAGCTTTTTGGCCATCAAGGAAAGCGCTATGTCTGGCGCAAACCCAACACCTCTCATCACCCCAAGAACACCATCGGCAGGGACTGGGAAACTGGTCAGAATTGAAGGAATGATGGATGGCGCTAAATACAGGGAAATTCTTGAGGGAAACATGTTTCAGTCTTCCAGAGATTTGAGACTGGAACGGAGGTTCACCTTCCAGCAGGACAATGACCCTAAGCATACTGCTAAAGCAACACTCAAGTGGTTTAAGGGGAAACATTTGAATATCTTGGAATGGCCTAGTCAAAGCCCAGACCTCAATCCAATTGAGAATCTGTGGTATGACTTAAAGATTGCTGTACACCAGCGGAACCCATCCAACTTGAAGGAGCTGGAGCAGTTTTGCCTTGAAGAATGGGCAAAAATCCCAGTGGCTAGATGTGCCAAACTTATAGAGAAATACCCCAAGATACTTGCAGCTGTAAATGCTGCAAAAGGTGGCTCTACAAAGTATTGACTTTGGGGGGTGGGGGGTGAATAGTTATGCACGCTCAAGCTTATTGTTTGTTTCACAAGAAAAAATATTTTGCATCTTCAAAGTGGTAGGCATGTTGTGTAAATCAAATGATACAAACTCCCAAAAAATCCATTTTAATTCCAGGTTGTAAGGCAACAAAATAGGAAAAATGCCAAGGGGGGTGAATACTTTCGCAAGCCACTGTAAGCATGCGTGCCTCCATGTTGGTTAATGTGCATGTGTGTGTGTGTGTGTGTGTGTGTGTGTGTGTGTGTGTGAGACTCACTGTGATGGTTGATAGTATTGATGAGCCTGACCCCTACATGGGCGTGGTTATAGGTCACCAGGACGATGTCAAACAGTTCTTCACTCTCTGGGTACAGCTCTCTCAGACGGGCATTCACCGCCTGCAACGCCTGATGGAAGAGCAGATGAGCGCACAGAATCATGGGTAATGTAGTCAGTATACATGTAATAGCATTCAGCATACAAATCAATATCACCGTCTCCAAGGCCTGATGGGATAGCAGGGGACAGCAAACGATTATGGGTAATGTAGTCAGATGAAAGCGTTCCATCTCATTCAGATCCAGAAGATAAAACCTTCTGAATCAATTTAACATTAGCCACTTTGTAACACTGTGTTTCCATGGTTGCGGTTGCATGTTTTACACGTGACATGAGTCAATAAGCCAAAAACAAGTCACGGAATGCGTCTGTGTGTTACTGCGGTAGTTCTTGTTCATTTGTATGTCTCTCAAAGCCTTTGGGGAAAGACTCTACCAACCTCAGTACTCAAATCAAATCAAAATTGTATTTGCCGCGCGCCGAATACAACACCTTACATGTAAGGGTTGGTGTGAGGTGCGACCCAGGTGCGGTGCAGGATATACAGCAGGCAGTAGGCAGAGATGGTGAAACAAGGATCTTTACTGGTGGTCCCGAAGCCAAATTTACAAAATATTTATTTTCATATTCATTGCAGCCACTTGAGCATCTGGTCAATATAATGGATAATCTGTGGTCACACACGATAACTGAAATGCGCTGCATCATTCGTGGGGGACGACGTGTATCCTGTTTCCTTGTTCATCGTTAAGTCCATCCTATGGTATGGAAGTGTTTGTGTGTGTTTGTATGGCTCTAACCTTGACGAAGGAGAAGGCTGGCCCAGGGGCGAAGGGTTCGTTCTCATGCTCCACCTGGTACCGCAGGTACTCCTCCACCCCCTTCTGCTCATACACCTTCTGCTCGGTCTCAGTACGGAACAGTACCCGGGACGACACCGCAACGGTCACCGCATTCTCCGGCTTGGGCTGCAGAGTGGGGGGGTAGAAATAAATAAATACACGAAGGGTTGAGAGGGAGAGAGAGATTGGATGTGTAGAGGTGAAGAGGAATATAGAAAGCAGACGGGAAAGGAAGAAAGGTTGAGAAGGGTCGGGAAAGATAAAAAGAGAGAAATTAGCTTTGACAGAATAAGAGGGAATAGATAATAATAATAATAAGCCATTTATCCAAAGCGACTTACAGTCATGTGTGCATACATTTTTACGTATGGGTGGTCCCGGGGATCGAACCCACTACCTTGGCGTTTACAAGCGCCACGCTCTACCAATTGAGCTAAAGAGGACCACGGAGAGCGAGAGCTAAACACGTACAACCTATAACATCTGGTCTGTGAAATGAACCCAGTTAAGGGACACCAGTGTATTCTGGGAAACAGTTGGATATATTAGCAGTTGATGCATGTTCAAGATGGCCTCAATTAAGCAGTACATGATACCTATTGCCCAACCTTCTGACACACAGACACACACACGGTAACCAGACACGCAGACGTACAGACAACACACACACACGTAGGTACGCACGCACGCACACACACACACACACACACACACAAACACACACACACACACACAAACACACACACAACACACACACACACAACACACACACACACACACACACACAACACAACGCACGCACGCACGCACGCACACACACACACACACACACACAAACACACACACACACATACACACCGAAGGCAGCAGGTGATTCATGCTGGGGTAGCACCTCTACATAGCTAACAGCTCTAATGTTTACAAAAATATTCCTTATAGGTTATTTTTCAGTTAGGAACATTGTTACCTAATCTTCCATTTATCTACCACTTAACCTAGCAATTAGCTAATTTTGTTCTTCGAACATTTAGGTTCTACTCAGTTAGGAACATTGTACCGGGACATTACATTTGTCCAGTTCAATGGTTGTTTCCAAATTCACTCCCCCCAAAGAAATTATTGTATGGGGAGCTTTTATGAAGGCCGAACATTGTTAGTTAGCAGGTAGGGTGTTACAGCAAAAGTAAATTAAGACTTTTTGATTGTATTGAATCCCTCATTGTAATTTTTTTACTGTATAAGATACTGTAGAATATACTGTATAACATACTGTATACGATACTATATAAGATACTGTTTAATATACTGTATAAGATACTATATAAGATACTGTTTAATATACTGTATAAGATACTGTATAAGATACTGTATAAGATACTGTTTAATATACTGTATAAGATACTATATAAGATACTGTTTAATATACTGTATACGATACTGTAAAAGATACTGTATAACAAACTGTATAAAATAGTGTATGAGATACTGTATAAGATACTGAATAATATACTGTATACGATACTGTATGAATTAAGTCAACTATTGGTACACCATTTCATGTTATGGTGGGAAACCTCCAGCAGGAATGGGTTAGGGTTATGGTGGGAAACCTCCAGCAGGTGTGTGTGTATGTGTGTGTCTGTGTGTGTGTGTGTGTTCTCTGGGGGGTGACGTGTGAAGTGTACAGGAACATGTAACTGGAGAGCCGTTCTGACAAGGCGAAAAGACCCTGATTTGTGTGTGTGTGTGTGTGTTTGTTTGTGTGTGTGTGTGTTTTTGTGTGTGTGTGTTTGTGTGTGTGCGTGTGTGTGCGTGTCAATGTATGACCCCATTGTGCTGGTTGTATTACTGTTGCAGTGTTGTGCGTGCAAATTGAGGAGTAGAGAGAGAGAGCAGAGAGAGAGAGAGCAGAGAGATAGAGATAAACTAGGAGCCTACCCAGAGAGAGCGAGATTACGATGAGACGAGATATCGTGCTGGAGCTCGGTTGCTGCTCGAGAGAGATATTAGACACTAGACGAGATCGCACAGATGCAGAGAGAGAGAGAGAGATGAGAAGCAGAGAGGGTGGCGTCATTGGGGCGCTAGATGCGGGTTCGTTACTCTCTGCCTCAAAGCGACAGATTACATTGTTTTGCTATGTTTCACTGGATGTCACGTGTTGTTTACGGTAGAAAGGATAATGTATAGGTCCAATCACGTTCCACCCTCCCACACACATACACACACAAACACACCCCACACACACCAGCACATACACACACAAACACACGACGCAACACATATATAGGATAATCATTTAATTTTAGATTGATGGTCAGATAGGCGAGATATTTGGTAGGATGATTTAGTCGAAATTTGTAATAATTAAATAAACTAGATAAAGTAGGTGAGATTAAGCAGTTAGTGATAGATCCCAGATCATCCACTATTAGATATCGCTCATATAATATTTATCTTGTCGATCTCAGTCTATCAATGATATCTTTGGGTGGGGGGGGGGGGGGGTCAATTCCACTTGGCCGCCCTACATTAGTCCCCTCATTGGGGTTTTAGCTCAGATGAACGTTTATGGTTGGAGGGATGGAGAGTGGTGGTGGGGTCCGGTCTTAATTTAGAGTACCATTCAAAGCACCATGGCAGGAAAAGAGGGCAACGGTTGGGCTAAAGATCATTGTTGTGTGTGTACGTGTGTGTGTGTGTGTTTTACTTTGTGTGTGTGTTTGTTGGTGTGTGTGTGGACGTGTGTGGTGTGTTTTGTGTTGTTGTGTTACTGTGTGTTTGAGAGAGAGGGCTAACAGCCTCTCATAGCTCTTTCCCATTTCCACAGCCCAGCTTTCTGAACACCGAAGCGCTCTCTCTCCCTGCTCTCTCTTCTCTCTCCCTCTCTCTCTCTCTCTCTCTCTCTCTCTCTCTCTCTCTACTCTGCTGCTCACCGCTCTCTCTCCCCTCTTCTCTCTCTCTCTCTCTTCTCTCTCTCCTCTCTCTCTCTCTCTTTCCGTCTCTACTCTCCCTCTCTCTGCTCTCTCTCTCTCTTTCTCTCTCTCTCCCTCTCTCTCTCTCATCTCTCTCTCTCTGTCTCTCTCCTCCTCTCTCTCTCTCTCCTCTCTCTCTCTCTCTCTCTCTCTCTCTCTCTCTCCTCTCTCTCTCTCTCCTCTCTCTCTCCTCTCTTTCTCTCTCTCTCCCTCTCTCTCTATTCTCTCTCTGTCTCTCTCTCTCCCGTCTCTCTCTCTCTCCCTCTCTCTTTCTCTCTCTGTCCTCTCTCTTCTCTCTCTCTCTCTCTCTCTCTCTCTCTCTCTCATCTCTCCTCTCTCTCTCTCTCTCTCTCTCTCCTCTCTCCTCTCTCTCTCTTCGCTTTCTCTCTCTCTCTCTCTCTCTCTCTCTCTCTCTCTCTCTCTCTCTCTCCTCTCTCTCTCTCGCACACCCACACCCACACACACAAAAACACCCACAAACTCACACACACATTTCCTCCCACTGATATATCACCCGTTTTCCTATAGTTAGTCACCATGGAGATTTAGTTTGTATTTGTAGAAAACACACGAAAACACTCACAAGCAGGTGTGTGAATAGACAGACGCTCGTACAAATACTCAATTACTCTTGTCAAGGTTGACAGGCCTAAAACGATGGCAGTTAGAGGTGATGCAATTTCAGACATGCAACGTGGCTTTGTCCTCCACCACACTTACTGAGAATGAAACCGAATTGTAAACACACAGATCAACCCAGATATCAAGGTGTAGGAATGCAGTACACGTACGTGTGATTAGTTGTGCTTAGTCATGTTTTTGACAAATTTTGATTTAAACACTTCTCAGTAGTTGGTATTCAGACTTAGCGTATGCAGGTGCGTAGTAAGGTAAGCTATGTGGGTGTGGCTCCCTTGCACGCATTGAATACATTTAATTCAAACCCTGAAAACACACCCAGACAGAATTGATCAGGGAGTTTTCATTCAATTCGTTTTTTCTGTCCATTTATCTAAAGCAATCCCTTTAAATACTGTGTACCTTTAATTTTAATTTAAACAACACTAGAATGTAGGCTAAGGAGAATAGCGTTCAGAATTTGGAGGTCAATGAAAGACATGCATATTTGTCTCTGTTTCAGAACCCATGCGCACATTTAAAACACTGTGATATTATAGCTTATTAATGTTTAGGGAAGTATTCACAAATCTTATCTACATGGAAAAATAGGGTTGGAGAGCCTTCCTGCAGAAAAGAATACAACGGTGGTTTGACTCATTCTGAAAATTACCGCATTTAGTTCTTCAACCCATGGTGATGTTGGAAGATTAGCGTACATAGAATTATGATAGGGGGAATAGTGTATCACGGCATGAAAATGCTGTATACCCTTTTGCCCACACTGATCATGAGAACAACAGCCAAGTATTGTGCCATGTGTCAGGGTCAAACTGAAATAACGCTTTGATCTGTGCTCCATAATTCTTTAATTAGCCTTCATGTCCAATTTTGTATTACATGAAATATAATCCACCTTCACTGGTGATCCTCAGCAACAACCACATGGAAGTGACAGAATTTAAAGAGGAAGCAAATTAAAGTAAACCAAACATTGGAATGGAATGATACGAAATGTACTGAAGGGCACTAACATTTCAATTGGTGGTGAAGCATTCATAACTACCCATTGCTTTTTTACAAAGACAATCCTTCTTCCATGTTTGACCATTACACCCATAATGGGTTTTGTGATGTAATTCATTGCTCTTAAAAATGCTGTAAAACGTTGGTAGGTTAGTAGATGCATCCAGAGGGTCATGCGTACATTTCAGAGGAGGTTAATTAAAGGTCAAAGGTTAGAGGTGGCTGACCTTTGACCCTGGCCCACATTGCCGTGTTCGATACTTACAAAGAAAATGCCTCCTTCCACCTTCCGTGCTCGTCTCTGACATGACACCTTCACAAATAAAATAAAAACGTTCACAATTTCAATGATTCATCTATTCATTCATCCTGTGCTGTTAACACACAGAACAAAACATTTTCCATATGCACACTGTTTATCATATCTGAAGAGTTTTATTTATCCAGAGAATCTCTTTGAAAATGAAATAAAGAATTTGGCATTAAGAATATATTTTTCAAGGGATT